GTGACGATCGTATATTTTAAATATTTAGAATTTTTATATCAGAATAAAATTCTTTATTTTAATATTTATTTTACTCTGACATGAATAAATTATAGTTTCTGAACAAGAGTCAAATTGGGACTTAACAAGTATGGAAATCGATTAAAATTATTTTCAGTAAAATAATTTAGTTTTCCTTTTATAAAGTATATGTATCACGTTTGTTTATTTTTTATGTGTGTACAAACATCTTCATAATAATGTTATATTAAGGGGCACAATTAGTGTAACCGCCTAAAAAAAGGTGATTTTTGGGAATTTATATTAAAAAAATTACTTTATCAATCATTTCAAAATTTTAGAAGTATATTTATACATGTTTTAAGAATACATAGTAAAATTTTTGAAGAAAAAATTAAATAGTTTTTAAGTTATCATCGATCTCCAACGGCGCGACAAAAAAAGTGGCCCTTAACTGCTGCAGTGATTCCGGCCTTCTACATGGATGAAATAAAAAAAAAAATCTCGTTAAACTAGATAATATTTTCTGTAAAATGAACTACGATAAAAGAAATAGATCAAAAATTGACAAAATGGCGGCGTTTTTTTTTTTTAAAAAAAAGTCGAATTTTACCCAAAATTTTGGTCGTTTTTCGACTTAAATTTCGATTTTTGATCCGATCAAAAAATCGATAGTTCATTTTACGGAGAACTATATACAGAACATGTAAAAAAAATTTGATAGTGATCGGATCATTCGTTTTTGAGTAATCACTGCAGCAAATTCGGAAAATGCTGTTTCGAGAAAAACGCGTTTAAAGATAAAATGATCGTTGTACTATATACTATATGTATACATTTTAAATGGCTGTAACTCAAAAACTATTTGAGATATCGATTTGAAATTTTAATATGTTATTTTTAAATATGTAATCTACCGAAATATGAAAAAAAAGCAAAATCGATTTTTTCAAAATTTCACACTAGTTGTGCCCCTTAATAATTATAATATTATAAAATTATTACTACGATTCTCAGATCAAATCATTTTTCCCGCCACAGACTAAATACCTGATTTCGTTTAATTCGGATTTGCCCACCTGTACAAACCTTCGTTATATTTTACCTGCGTTGTAGACACGCACTGGACCGATCTATAATACAAAACGCAAAGTATAATTCTCCTTCTCCGTTCTACTCGTGTACCTCTTTTGGTTTCGTATCAAACACTGCCGTTTCTTTCTATTCGCTCAGTCAGTCTTCCATAGTCTTTTGATATATTAGCAGTGGAATCTTCATACTTTAAAATACAATTATATCTTCGTGTTGTATCATAGTTGTAATACCTTTTTTTTAGTTTGAAAGTTTTTTTGTGAAGTGTTCGGTGCATTTTTCTCATAAGTGAAAGTGGAAGATTTTGTGGAGGAATAATCAAAATTTGCATTAAAGATGCACTACAGAAACGGAAACGTGAGACGTATGTATTCGTTAGGCAGCTAAGGATTTATTTTTTTGGATTAATTGTATAATTTATTTTTGTTTGAAAGTTGTAAATATTATTATGTATACACTATTTTTAAATATAATTTATACTTTCTAATTGAATATGAATTAATGAACAACTAATTAACTAACTATTACTAAATAAAATATACTCTACGTAATAGTAATTTCTAATTGAACATGAATGAATGAACAAATAATTAACTAATTATTATTAAATAAAAATATTACACGTAATAGTGTAATTTCTAATTGATTATGAATGAATTAGCAACTAATTAACAAACTATTAACTAATTATTATCGAATAAAAAATATTCCACTTTTCCAATTTGGTCTTCGCCTTTATATCTTTCCATTGATCTGTCCATCAACTTTTTTCAATTCATATTTTTACGATCACCCACAAACTCCAACCGACAGGTGTTAAATAATATTCCCATAAACAAGTGCTTCCGAAATGTAGAAAAAACATTGTCTGGGAATGTTATATGTGGGTTTGCGCTGATTAGAATGGCTGCTTGAATATAAATATATTAAGCAAACATGATAATTATCGTTTATGTTGGGACGACCACTGTTTGCTATGACTGTTTCTGTTTATTCGTATTTTATACTGTTATGAATCATTAGGTATTATTTAAAGCACGTATATGAAATGTGAAATTCAATATGTTGTTTTATAAGAATTGTTTGAAGTTCATCAGCCATCTATCTAATTGGACAAATTTGGAATATTTGGAATTGTTTTCTGGATTTTTGACTCTGATTATCTTAGTTTTATGCCCAGCATTTAATTTCAATTTCATTTATTTAGGAACTGTGTGATATCACTTAACAACAATTAATTTTATTATTTCTGTTTTTCAAGGTCATATTTTTATTAGATTTATTAATTTATTTTATTATATAATTTATATAATGAAGACGGCAGTTTTTTTTCCACGAACTTGAACTAAAAATACGTGGTCATAAATCAGGCGTGCTCCGATGTCGTGCCCACAAATTCCTGTGAAATAATTTTCAACGTGCTAATTACACATTCTCGTTTGCACATTGCGACGGTATCGCAATGCTCGAGAACAATATGTATTTTCTTTGGACTCGTCCCATCCCAACCATTTTTCTTTAAAGCTTTGTGTGCACAATCGAGTATCGTGTCGTAAGTTAATTAACGACTATTTATCTAAACAATTGCCTCGAGCAAAGAATATCGGGCGTTAGCTTAACCTGTTTTCTCATTCGAAATCTTTAAATACTTCAGATCAATACGCGCTTAACAATAAAGCGCGAGTAAATTTCAGCACGTTGGAGACGAATCGATAAAGCACCTCAACTGCCAATGAAATAATTAAATTTCCTAAATGTATTGAGCGAGGAAAACATTTATAATTTGTTAATAATAAAACATTTAACACAAGTCCGGTGCCCTGTCTTCTATTTTGAAATTTAAATCAATCTAGATTTTTGACATTTTTTCAATGGTTTTTTAATTCGACACATAAACAAATTCTGCAATATTTGATACCCCAAATTGAAGAGTGAATAAGTTAAAATAATAATAAAGTGAATAAAAAACTATAATCTTACGCATTCCAATGATTGTCTAATAAGCAAAGATCAAGTTTAGATTTTACTCCTCGCCCTTTTTGTCGATATAGAAGCTTTTTGATATTTTGCATCCACAGTTAATCTTGTTTAAAAGTTTTATATATACGATGCATCCAAACTCTCTATTTGCGACATGTAACTCTAATTATTTATAACGAATTCAGGATGCATGCAACAAATTTAATTATGTTTACTACCTTTAAGCCAATTAATTAAAAGTTAAATATTCAGAATAACCAAACCATAAGTAGCACTTTATCACTATTTTATCAAACACGAGCCCACGAGCCTATATATCTACTCTATATTGCCATACTCTTATTATTTCTATTATTGTTATTTTGTTATATTTTATTATTTTTCTAGTATTATTTTATTATTCTGAAATTTTATTTATATTATTTATTAATCTTATTTTTATTATTATTTGCTTATATTTTACATTAAATCATATTACGGATATTGTTTTTATGTAAATTTTATCCTTTGCTCTTTTATTTATTTAAATTTATATTATTATTTATCAATATTACTTAATGTTAATAAATTAGCAGTTGTAATAATTATTGAAATTAAAAAAAAAAAAAAAAAATTGCCATGGCTACTATAAACACATTTACAAAACAAAAGCAAATGATTTTTTATACATTTATAACCCGTCATTGTTAAATGTAAATCATCAAGTGTAATATTTATAATTTTTGAAATTCTAAAAATGACTGCCAATAAGTTTAGGCCAAGGAAAAGACGTAATCTTAATACATTTCTAAATCTAATAACGATTTTCTCCGAATTGATTAGTGGAAAAGCTAATTTTGATTTTCAATTCAATTTTCAGCCGGAATGAAGCGCGAATCGCAAGAAGACGGAGACGTCCGCGAGGCCCCACAGAAACGTTCCAGACGCGGTGATGAGGAAGTGAGGCTTTTGATTCCCAGCAAGGTATGAGAAATATTCTCGCTTTTGAAACACTTATAACAGACTTACAAATGCTTTTTTTGTGAGTTTTGAAGTAACAACCTCGAATATGAAGTATACTTCATATACGAAAACTGAAGCACAATTATACTTGTGTTTCAGTTTTCGTGAATATGATTTGATTTTTTGTTTGTTTTTGTATCTTTATGACTTTTATTTATTTTAAGGTCGCTGGATCTATCATCGGAAAAGGTGGTCAGAGCATTACAAAACTTAGAGGACAGGTATTAAAATTTGATTCATTTTACAAGAAATTTATTACTTTTTACTTACATTTTGGAATTTTGGGTTTATATAATAATTCAAGTTATAATTTTCAAATAACCTTTTTGAGTTTTATTAATTGCTTTTGATATACTTAATTTGCACTTAATTTTTTTAACATTTGAAGTTTTATTGTTGATCGCATTAATAATGCTTTTTAAAGGATTTTATTGGTATTTTATTTGTATTGTATTCATTACATGTACGATTTTTATTTCAATTTAAAAACGTATTAGATTAGATTGATTTGACTCAATTTAGCCAGATTTTCAGCAATGCAATTTATGTGAAGGTGCGGCCACTGATAAACTTTTAACTTTAAACAACAGCTTTTGACTTAAACCACATTAACAGAGCTTGCCTTTAACAATCGAAATTCAAACTTGTGAATGAATAATGTTTTATTATGTTTTAGACTAATTTACTAATATAAGCATTACTGTTATTGTTTGAAACAAAAATTGCAAAACTAATAGAGATGAATTCTTTTTCTTTCTTTTTCGGCCTCGATCACCTCCCACCAATCTTGAACCACACTTGAACCTGATTGATAATTTGTGCGGTGTCTAAAAAATGTGCCAACCAACCAATCGACCGACCAACCACACAATGACCACACAACCCTGTGCAATACATTCGAATAAAACCCAACAAAAAAAACAATAATTTGCCAAAAAAATCGAATTGCGTTGCTCGTGTGTGTGTGCGCCCAAACAATGCCAAAAAACTAAAAATGCCAAATAATCGCACACTTGGTTGGTCGACCTGCTCCGAACTGACATCGCATCGACGCCCAATGCCCGCCTTCTTCGATGCCCATGTTGCCACTCATATGCCCTGAATGCCAATGATGATGCAGTATAAAGCCTCAATTACTGTGCCAGATTGCCCTGGGCCAGAACGGTAATGCATATACACTTGTCTTTATTCACATTTTTATCTGTTATGTCAAATCATGTATGAGAGTTAGGACCGAATTGGTTTGTCTGATTCCCATCCAAAAACAGTTATCATCCACAGTTTAACATACCGAAGAAGACATCCAATTCCGACCCTCAGCCCTTATTTTAAAAGAAATTAGTGATACTTTTCCTCTAAATTAGTCAAAATTATAACTTTCAGCAAAATTGTAGGAACAGTTTGTGTTTTATGTATAGACCACGATGAAGGTAGTAAAAAAAATCTTCTCATTTGTGATATTAGCTGATTTGAGGGAAAGTGTTACATTAGATACGTTCCAAATCTTATGCTTTTTAAACATATAAATGTGGATTTATTACTGTGAATAAGTTAACACAATTTAATCAATTTATTGTTAATAAAATTATCTATATCCTTATTACCTGAAGCCAATTGCCTTTTTGTGAAAAGTTATTGCAAAAATTCTGAAGTAATAGGTTGTAGCGAAGGTCACACTTTTTGTATTTATAAATGTATCAATTATCTTGTATGCCTTTAATCATTTCCAGATCCAAGCAGCATTATTCCTTGGCTTAACACTGTTTAGAATAAGGCCGTCGCAACACATCTACTAAATCTTTTAAATTTTAATCTAATGATGAATATTTTTGCTCTTGCCCTAATAATAAAATATACTACTGATACTAAAATATTTGTCTGGGGCACATATTGGATTTGAAATGCTTGCACACTAATGTTACTTTCTGCAAAAAATGACGTTCGAATGCCTTCTAACAAAACTAAATATTAATTCAAAATGACTGCACTAAGTTTGCTATCACTAGATTGATTTTGTGCCACGCTCACATGGAAGGAAATTGCACTTTATTTTGCTCCAAGAATGTATAAGATCACAATCCACTATTTTTTGTGTTTAATTATCTTGCCTCTTTACTCAAACTACAAAAATAACAAGAAATGGGCAGCACAGACTTTCGTGTTGCAATAATGAATATCCTGTCATTTCAACATCAGTTGTTTTATTACATTTTATCTAAATCATGCAAAAGCACTCGCACGTTTCACTTCAATTGCCTCTAATACTCCCGAATCGTTCAATTTAATGAGCTTTTATCGAACTTCTTCATTCGGCGCAGATGCGGTTTGAAAACACGGTTAAATTAAATCTTGTTCCATCAATTGAATGAGAGAACGATTTACTAATGCTTACTTTTTGTTTTTTTTTCTATTATGTTCTCGGACATCAGGATCCTTACGATGTACTCTGATCTGGATACCATCTGCAACATCGTGCAGGATGTGATGCCAAATTTGGAACAGGTGAGTCGAAAATTAATTTATAATAATATTAATAATTTATATTTATCATAATAAGTATTAATTATCATAATATTTTAAGTTTTAAAGTTTTTTAAATATTTATTTTATTTGGCTTATTAATGTTTGTCAAAATGATATTAAATTTAATAGAGAGTTATATCAAAGGTTAAGCAAAATTTATTGATATTTGTGACTTTAATGAATTCTTAAAGTTCGTGCTACGATCGACAATATATGAAAACTATATGCTTGTATCACTCGTGATGCTTATGAAATAATCAGTAAATAAAGAATTTAATTAAACTAAACTAGCGAATTTATGAGAGCCTTACTATAGTTGTTGGTATATCTATCAGGTTCTGTTGTCGCCACTATGTCCGCTGCGTGACGAATCGCACTTGGGAATATGGTATTCTATGATATCATTAAACTCCTAGCACGTCATTCGGGGGCGCCTTTGTTCTTGGTTCAGGGTTGAATAGAAATCGTAGCACAAACTTCCATTTTTGTATAAATGCCTTTAATCAATTTAATTATTTTTAAAACCGCTACTTCTAAACATTCCTATTTAAATATATTTTTACATACTTTACTTTTCAATTTTTCTTCTATTCTTCGAGTTTTCTCGCTCTAAAATACTTAAATTTTTTGAATATCTTCAATGTACTTAAATATATTAAATTGATGAGAAATAGGTATTTGAGAAGAGCATGTAATACATCGTCTTTTTAATTCAAGCTTGAATAAGAATCTAACCATAAATATATCAATCAATAATTTTCGTTTGATCACATTTGAATAAAAATCAAAGTGTACGTACGTCTTCATTTTTGGATATCGTTTTTAATTAATTTATTTTATATTGCCACTAGAATAAAACTTGTATTCAACTATAAGCTTACATAAATATATTTATTTTGCAAATAACGGCTTTTCTAAAATATTATAATTATATTACCATAACATTCTGTAATTTTTAATATTTTTATTTAATTGCACTTCAAGCCTTTAAGGGGAAACAGACTGTAACAGCCTAAAAACGTGTTTTTGATATAGATTTTTTATAGGGGGGAAGTAATAAAATTATAATTTTGGAGGAAGTTATTTAGCGTATACAACGTAAGAAATTAGAAAAATATCCAAAAGTAACGACACCACAGTCATTTTTGCTAGGCAGATATAATTTGTGTAGTTTGCAAATTTGGATCTAAGAAAATACACACTTAATTCTTATAGCTAAGATATGAATTACATAGGGAATACGTTTTTTTGTGGTTGACGAGTATATGAGAAATTTAAAAAGTTTTCACTATTATATTTAAATAATATTTGAACTGATTGATGAGCATTTAAAAGTACAGTCTTCATAACAAGCTTAGATGTTTGGATATAAATCTAGATTTTGCTTAATTACATTTAAATTTTTATATGTCTTTCATCACATAATCGAAGATTTAATATCAAATGTTTTTTATTGCTCACGCTGTCGTTTTCCACGATCTCCCTTAACGCTTCTCATAAAATAAAGCAATTTGGGTCATACGAATTCCATATGATGAGTTCATAAGCACAAGGATATTTCTTTGCAATAAACAAGGTCGTATTCGTCTCGTATACTATCAATTTCAGATGTGGCATGTCCTTCAATTTCTCGAATAATATTCTAAGTACATAACGACTGATTACACTTTAATGTGAGAATTACAATTGTTAGATTTAATGGTAATGTGTTTATTATTTCTATAAAATGAAAGCCAAGTAATGAACTTTTGTTTTTACAACATAATGTATAAATCACAGAACGCAAATTTGTTTAATCTTTTATATGCGTTTAGCCTTAGTCTTATATAATACTCATGAGAATGTTTGTAATGAACATGTAATTATAGCGAGAATTATTTATAATGTGTATAGTTTTGTTTTGTATTTCATTACTACATGTTTATTTCCATTATCATCAATCCATTGTTGTTCTACAGTGTTTCATTTATTATTTATCGAATTATTACTTTATTTTCCTTTAATATTCAGATTTTTGAATCACATTCATGAGTAAATGAAAACATGCGAAATATTCACAGCAACTCATATGTAATCAATCATTCTACATATAATCAATTCTCAAATTTCTCTACTCATCGTCTGCTTGTACTTATAAATTACATTGGTCGCAGTCTGTTGCTTTGTGAATAATTTTTAAGAAACAAGTCTACAGTTTTTTAAGAAACAAGTCTACAGTTTTTTTAAGAAACAAGTCTGCAGTTTTGTTTTGAAATGAAGTTATTTGAATGACTTTTCCACGGATGTGCTTATTGCATGTCATTGCAAATCTAATAATAGTCACGATGTTGATTTAAAGACATGAAATGCGTAATTTAAGATGTGCAAGTATCAGAATATTTTGTGTCTATGTTTTTTTTGATTGGACATGAATGGTACATGAAAACGTTATGTTAGTATAATCTAAACATAGAATCAAAGTTAAAAAATCAAAATTGTCTTGTTAATGCCAGTCTCGTCAAACCAAAATCAAATTTTCTAAAAAAGTTTCTATGAATACGTCTAAGTACGTGCCAGTGGTTATAATTATAAATATGGGGCGGCTTTGATGTGCTGACAATAAATTAGCATAGATTTTGCCATGCCATATAAACATTATGTATTGTCTTAATGCTTTTAATGAGTAACTAATAAATTATGGGTGCCAAGAAAATTAATACCTCTGCGCATCGCTCGTGACGAAATACATTTATATTGACTCTTTTAGCATGCGGGGTGGTACCAAAATAGATCTAGAAATGTAACCGAATATTATTTGGATTTATGTTCAAGGGTTCGCCGTATAGATTTTTATCAATTTAGTTGATTTTCTGCACAAATATTTATACTCAAACACTTATTATATGACAAGATTTAAATAATTAATTATATATATTTTTATAAATATTATATATAAGGACGAATAATCTTTATATATTACCATTAGCAAGAAGGTCATCGTATTCATAAAGTTTTTTGTTCTTTTTATTACAGAACGGCTGTCGGGCTGGTAGCGATGAAGTCGATATCAGAATGTTGATTCATCAGAGTCAAGCTGGATGCGTTATTGGAAAGGCCGGATCAAAAATCAAGGAACTGAGAGATGTAAGTTTGATAAATTATTTGAAACATTCTTTGTACAATTTATAAATATTCGTTGGAGTTTTTTAATTGATTTGCTTCAATCCGAGAGTTCTAGAAAATATTAGGATTGGGATTGCTTTTTTTTCCTATTGTAGTAATTTAACATATAAAATATGTTATTAATTATCATTCTAATGACCACTAAAATAATTTCATAATAATAATTAATATACAAATTTTAAGATAAATTCATGTATAGCGCGATTTGTTTAACATTCTTAAATTAACTGAAAACATTAATTCAGTATTAAGAATTTGAATTGTGCTTGCTTTTGATATTTATTTGGAACTAATATATTTTGGAAAATAGATAAATAATAAACTATAATACTATTAAAAACTATATCTTATATTCGGACATATTATTTCTTATTTCTTAATGATGTAGCTTTTTTAAGCGATGCTCAACGGTAGACAAATCTGTATTTGATATATTTTTATTAAAATTTCTTTAAATTGAATTTTTTAAATGTGATGTAGCTATTTCATGCGGGGAAGGGTTGTTTTAATAATATATTAACTATAATACTATTAAAAACTGAATCTTATATTTAAACATATTATTTCTTATTTTTTAATTTGGGAGCTTTTTTAAGCGATACTCGATGGCTGGCATATCTGTATTTCATATATTTTTATTAGAATTTCTATGATGTGGATTTTTTTAAATGTGATGCAGCTATTTGTTGCAGTTGGGGAAGATTTGCCTTCATTCAAAAACATATTTCTATGTTATATTTTTTAAAAAATACTATTTTACACAAGAAACTTTATTGGGGAAGGGTTGTTTTCATTCGAAAACATATTTCTATGTTGTATTTTTAAAAAAATACTATTTTACACAAGAAACTTTGTTAGGTTTATATTAAAGTTGGGTAAATATAAATAATTCTACTTAATAATTCTAGAAATTTCATATCATTTAGACAACTACGTCTACCTGTAATTGTCGAATAGTATCCCAATCTAGGTCCTAGATCATTAGATAGGGCATAATTTAGATCAGGAATTATATAAATACTGAGTATACAAGGGAAGTGATCTAGACGGCAGGTGGCGCTCTCATACACCGGGAACGAAGCTAGCACGTGCTTCGTATTTTTGCTGTCGATCGTTTTTTATATATTTTTTAATGATCATCGACAACCCCTAACGGCCGTTTTGTCGTGACACACATTGCTCGTATTACAAATAACCGATTGAAAATGAAAAGTTAAATCTCAAAATTGTTTTGTGAGCTACACATATTTTATAATATTTAATAATCAACAATTTGCAAATCATAATAATAGAACATAGTATAATTTTATAACATAAGTGTATTTAACAAACAATTGGAAGTGCAATTTATTTTGCTTATATTATATTACTGTAATATTAGTTAGGGTAGAGCGGGGCAAGTTGAGCAATCGAAATATCTCGAAAACTATTCACCATTCGTTTAGGCATTATATGGCGGAAAGATAGAGTTTTGGGAGAAATAAACATCCCGCGATCGCTAGTGGCCGCTGGGCAAATGAGTGAGGCTCACGGGCGTTTTGTTTATTTTGAGACCAAAAAGTAAAAAAGTAATTCATCGCGAGCTTTCGTCTGGTTTAGTCAAATGTTATTATTTTTTAATCAGGTAAATGTTATTCTTCCATATAATTATAGTAATTTTAATATGCACAGATATTCTGGGTATAATTCTCACGGTTTTTTATAAACTCACTTTTATTTTGAAATTACGAGTTGGGGTTAGTTGAGCTAGTTGCTAAAGTTGTTCTGTCACTAAGACAATTACCATCAACTTTCAGAAATTAATTATTATTTTTAAGATTTAAGCTAAGTCTATGAGTAGTAATATAAAAAAATAATGATTTTAAACAAAAATACTGAATATAGTGGTAAAATAATTCCTAAGATACGATATTGTTTTGTTGAATCTACTTTTGGTTAATTATTCAAAGAAAATTACTATAAGTTTTGTTTTCTCTGTCAATAAAGACTATAAATATAGAACTGGTTATTAAAAACTTATTTTATTTCATCAATAATCGACATTGAACCTATGATTTCATTATACTTTCTTAGTGCTCAACTTGCCCCACCTATGGGGTACATTGAACATACTTGCCTTTTTGCATTTAAACAGCTGTTGCTTTTAAATTTTATTTATTACCAAAAAATAGTATTAACACTTTTGTTAAGCTATAAACAACAAATCCATTGAGCCGTATAGCAATTTATTGAGACTTTTCATTGAGGAGCTACATCCGTTTAAATAAAAATTTGCTCAACTAGCCCCGACCCTATTACAGTTATATATGTATCAATGTGTCTGGTATTACACTAGGTATTTAACCTAATATGAAAAGTTCTTTAAAAATTTTATTCTTTCGACTTAACTGAACTTTTGGAATCGTCAGCGCGTGCATTTATATTCAACAGTTGATCATTATCCTCGCTTCATTCAACACCTGCTCGAACTCGAAGACCGCGCGGTAGTTTTCTTATGCCCGCCGAACGTCTTGCGTTGCAGCTGTCATCTGGCATTTTTACTCTATCAACCGACACCTTTCGGCATGAAAACTTTGCTAACCTTCAGATATAATGTTGGTTTTATCATATAATCAAGTATATTTGTTATAGCAAAATTCATGTATATTTGTTCTTCGGTTTTCTGCAATATTACTTCAATTAAATCTTTTTTCAAGTTTATTTAAACAATGTATACAGTACCTGACAAAATACTTAAAAATTGTTTAAGCTGATATATTACGGTAAATTCTTCTTGGCGTTTTTGAAGTATAATTTCTTCAACGAATTGTTTTAAATTTTAAATCCGGTAAACTGAAAAAAATGTTCAAAATGAAATTCCTTTATACCGATTTTCACAAAAAAATCTATTCATGATTCGTCGCCCGTGCCTAAAACACAATAAGCCCAATTCAAGTTTACACTCATTGTTAAATTTCTTAGTGCTTAATAGTGAATGGTTTGTTTGTAAAATGATTTTTTTGGTCAGGTAAAAATGCTTCATGCTACCACTAGGAAGGTGATATTTTTGATTTCAAGATTCCTGGAATTTAAATTCGAATTTGGTTATTTTTCTTCATAGTTAAATAAAAATAATAACTAGTGGAGCGCATGGCATCGTGTCTTAAGGCAAATTGCTGGAACTTCCTGTACCAAAAATTATTTTCTTTAAAAAGATTAACATTTTTGAAAAAAATATACTCTGAAAAATTAGATAGAATTTAATATATATTGAACAAAAATCAACTTTAATTTTTTATTAAAAAGGACTTGGCACTTTGCCCTATATCTTCGGAACTGCTAGACCTGCTTTGCCAAAAATAATCAGCACGTCTCCTTATCAATACGAATCGAATGTTTTTTGAATTATTCAAATTGCTTCATCCGTGTTCCCGAAATCGTCGACGAAAATTTGTATCCGAACACACACACATACACGCACACACACAGATACACGCACACACACACAAATATATACATCCATTTTTTCTAAGGTATGCCAAAATGTCAGAAGGGTTTGAAACGTAAAGATATACAAATTTGTTATTTTAGATTTTTTTGCGATTACTATAACTGCCCTACGGGAAGTTATAATAATAAATATATTGAATATTAAATAAAATCTTAGTTTCCCATTATATTTAGACCGGTTATTTTTATTGGCAAACTTGTAGGAAAGAACAAAACAATACAGACTCTGAAACGTTTAAGAATTATAGTGCTAACGTGCTATGCGAATGTGATATTTCATCTTATTTGCCATTTTTGGCAATGGTGCTAGATATATTTATGATAAAAATCAAATAGTCAGCAATATGGTTTCCATAACTAAATTTTCGTGGAACTGACTTACTAACTTCTTTACGCAAAAAGTCTTCATGCATAAAGCTACAGTTAATTCTGTTACGTCAATCATATGAATTATATTTCATTACTTGGCGATAAAAGCTTTGGAGATCATTTACATATTATTTCTTTATGTATGTTACTTTTATTAATAAATTAATAATTTTAATAAATTATTTTTTGTGTATTTAAAATCGTACACATTTGTGTGGTTTAACACATGTCACGGTGATGATTTCCGTTGAAACACCCAGTGATGTGAGACGAGTGGATCTTTGCCGGAACCAGCTGTTCTTCTTAACTGAAAAGTGAATTATTTTATTTTATTGCGAGACCTTGCGTTGCTTATTAAGAAATTTACGCGCTATAATATATAATTGAGTGAAATCTTGTTAATTTTTAAAAACTCTTGTGTTTATCCATTTAAGATTAACTATCGATTTTAATTACATTTTACGACAATATGTTTTTTCTTTTTATTTTCAATATAGAATATTATTCACTCCTTTATATTATTATCCTGGTTTCATTATTTTGTTTTGTTTAAATTGGGGTTGATTTTTCCAAATTGGCTATCAATCAATATTCAACTTTGAAGCGATGTTTGTTTCACCCTTACGTAACGGAAGTTCACGAGTACGGACGACTAGATCGATGTCTCATGTTTATTTCTACACGAAGGTTTTGTAATCTTCCACTTTTTACCAATGTAATTTGATAAAAAAAAGTCGAAGCACTGATAATGGAATTATAATCATTTCCAATGGGAATGGATATAGCTCATGTAGAACTTTTTAGTGTTAGACACATATGACTGGCATGGCGATTATAATGTGTTAATAAGGATTTTAAACAAATAAGGTAGCCAATAATATAAAAAATGTCCGGGTGTACTTTGTGTTATCCTCAATATTCTAGATACTTTTACCTTTTTGATTATTGTAATCAATAGTGCAAGATGTGAAGATGTATATAATTATTATAATTAAAAAGTTTGCGTCAGCATTCCTTAAATCAAGCATATTTTACGAAACATCTGTTTTGGGACTACCTTTAAATTCAATAAGTTTCTCGAAAACACGAATTTGTTCCTTCTCCATTGAAAGTGTCCAGATTTACCTCGTCTAGCTCACCTTTGCTTACCTTCACCTTCACAAAAGGAGACAAAAAAGATTATATGCAGCGATCCTAAAATTCTACGCTCGTCTTATTCACAAAGGAACATCTGCGCTGCTTGCCCTACAACTTTTGCCGCCACTTTGTCCAGCCCTCGTTCTATATCACTCGTATTTCGCTTTTCTTTGGATGTATGTGTGTACAGAGTTAGGGGTGGGAATTTCAATATGGCC